GGAATTCTGGTTTGTTTAGCATCACTTACTGTGATGATGACAGGGGAACACCAGTTAGGCTGTTGTTTAAAGCCTTTTGGATACATTTGTTATAGGAGGGAAGGGTGTATTTCACTTGGGGAAATAAATTGAGTTGTATTTTCATTCTTCAAAGGCAAATCATTTTTGTTACCAGCCTTTTCAAATGAGGTCATCTTTATTTTAATTTTTTTTTTAATTTAACCCAACATCACAGCAAAGCATGTAAAAGACAAGCTGTGGATGTCATGCTTTGTCTCACGTGAGTGTGAAATGGACGTGCATGCAGAAGTTAGAGTAAGCTGAGTTCCATCAGTGGGCAATGTTTTATTTCAAGCCAAAATGAAAACAAGCATTTAAAGAGACATTACTAACACATTTACATGTAAATTCATTTGCCATCTAGCTTAATCTTACCTACGAAGGAGCCTGGAATGTACTTCATACCTTTCCTGGTCAGCAACATTTTTGCTCAAATATATTATCTCCCCCTCCTGGTGTGCAACTTCTGCATGTGTGCATTTCGCACATAAAAGAGGCAAAGTGTAACATCCACACAATGAACCAGTGTGTCTATTACAAGCTTTGCCCTGTTGATTAATTACAAGGTCATATGTCCTCTGAACTTTAGTTTACCTCTTGGAATGACTAAAGTAAGTCATGAGTAGAATAAGACGATGGGAAGCTAAAATAATCCATCTACAGAAACCCATGGATAACTGTGGACACACACACACACACTGGGAGTGGAAACGCCTCAGAAACATGAACAGCTAAAACTAATCACAGATGATGAAACAAAGAAAGTAAAACTACAAGACGCAAAAAGAAAACAACTAGCAAAATAACACAGAAACTAATGTGATTCAACAAGATACAAGGGAAGAAAAGGGTAGCACGAAACTGAAAATCTCTAACCACATGAGTCTACTTCTAAATGTACCAAAACTAACAAAGACAGTTAAATATAATACTGAGAAAACTAATATATTTTTTAATATTTTCTGCTTGACTATCTCCAATTTGCATAAAAATTTTATGGTACCAACTTTGAACACAGGAAAGGAGCCTGACAGCTGAAGGCTCTTCCTCCCATGGTACTTTTAGAAAGTCCATGCTTCACAGTGGGACCATGCATATAAAGACCATCCGTGCACCCTTTCTTGCAAAGACACGGCGGGTGGAACCAAAGATCTCAAATTTGGACTCATCAGACCAAAGCACAGATTTCCACTGGTCTAATGGCCCAAACAAATCTCTTCTGCTTGTTGCTTTTCCTTAGTAGTGGTTTCTTAGCAGATATTTAACCATAAAGGCCTGATTCGTGCAGTCTTCTCTGAACAGTTGATGTAGAGATGTGTCTGCTCCTGGAACTCTGTGTGGCATTTATCCGGGCTCTAATCTGAGGTGCAGTTGACTTGTGATTTCTGAGTCTGGTGAATTTATCCTCAGCAGCAGAGGTGACTCTTGGCCTTCCTTTCCTGGGGCGGTCCTCATATGAGCCAGTTTCGTTGTAGCGCTTGATGGTTTTTGCAACTGCACTTGGGGACACATTCAAAGTTGCAGCAATTTTGACTGATCTTCAGTTCTTAAAGTAATGTTGGATTTTCATTTCTCTTTATTTATATTATGGGAAGAACCATTCAGCTAAATTCTAACAGTTGTTAAATGGGGCTGTCAGCTGTGGACCATCCTGACTTTTACACAACACAACTGAGAAGCCAAGAAGTTCCACAAATAAACGCTGACAAGTCACACCTGTGAAATGAAACCATTTTAGCTGACTACATCATGAAGCTTGCTGAGCGAAGGCCAAGGGTTTTTAGCGCTGTCAACAAAGCAGGGGGAGGCTACTTTCAGGAATTTAACATATCAGACATATTTAGAGTCATTTATCAATATTTTCTTTGCTACATAATTCCATATATCTTGATATGTCTTTGGTTTGTATCTACAATGTAGAAAGTAGTAAAAATAAAGAAAAAACGAATGTGAAGGTGTTTAGACTTGTGCGTGTGTGCGTGTGGACGGGTATTAACATCTTCGTGGGGACGAAAAATTGGTATTTACTATACTTGTGGGGACAAACAGCCCTCGTGGGGACCAAAATCCCGGTCCCCACAAGTTTGAAGGCGTTTTTGAGACTCAAAATGTGGTTTTAGTGTCAGGGCTGCAATTAGGTTATGGTTAGGTATGTGTGTGTTTGTGTAATTTAATGTTTGTTTTCAGTTTCAGGGAAAATCATCTAAAATCTGAGAAACAGTGTTGGATATGTAGCATCTTTATTCAACAGGTAACTAACACAACAAGCATGGTGGAGATCTGAGTCATTTCCAGACAGACCAGAAAGGTTTTTTTAAAAATCTAAGGATTAATTTCTTTTTTGTAATAAAATCCTCAGTAATGCCTAACAACTAAAAACTCACAAAACATTTATCGCTCACATAAAAATCAATAAGACTATCTGAGTCAGCAGACGATAGGACACACATTCTCCAGGTCACTAATATCGTGATAATTCTTAGCAAAATTCATGGTCTTGTTTATATTATGTTCTCATTTGAACTGTATTAAATTTAAAAAAAAATCGTAAAATATTTTCAAAATAAATCTGTCACCGATTAATCAAAAGAAGTACCATTAAATCAGCAAGACTTTGACTTTCATTTTATTGGCATTCTGTTCAGAAATTGGTAAAGACAAATACTTTCTCCTGTAACTGTTTGAGGAGGATAAAATAAAACAAGTAGAACAGGTTTGGAGTTCTACTTTTAAAGTTCTAAAGTTATTATTTTAAAAAATACATTTAGTTGCGCAGTATGAAATAAAGTTAAGAGAAATTAATATTTCATGAACAAAATGTAAGAACTGAATTAACAAGGGGAAAAAATAACACCGCGAAAATCCAGGGTAGGTTGGCAGAATAGCCTACTCCTTATGATGACACTCATAATTATTTATAAAAGTATTGTTTATTAGTTCAGTTCAAAATATGAAGTGGTGAAAAGTCAGTTTACACAGAAGCAGCGTCTATGCGGCGCTAACACGACAGTGGTGTATTAGAGGCTCTGGCATAAGAAGCCTTTATGGGCAAAAAATCAATGAAACAACAACAATTTATAATAATTGTTATTAATATTGCTATTAATAGTATGGCTAATTATTTAGACGTAAATGTAATTAGCTGACAGACATCACAATATTTTGAAGTGATTTAACGTGTTGCTTAATGAAAATGATAATAAAAATAGGAATAAAAATGATAATAACTCTCAGAACGTGACTTATAATATAATTAATAAGTCTTGCGGTGTTTCTAGCAAAAAGAAGCAAAAAGGAAAACTTGGCTAAATAAAGTAAAACTGCCGCTGTGATCTTTCAGTATATAACAAGAGACGTGGCCTGAAGCTCAGATATGAAGATCTTAGTAATTAATGTAAGTATAACTGTGTGTGTGTGTGTGTGTGTGTGTGTGTGAATATTTTTAGAATATTTATAGAATATTTAGTGTGTGTGGGGGGGTGACGCACACCCAACATTATACGCTTATAGTACTACTACTACTATTATTATTATAACTTCAATTAAAAATGATAAGTTGTCTAATACTTCTATGGCATAAATGCAACGAAACTCGGCTGGACAGATTAAAACTGGTGCTGTAAGGCTTTAGTAGATAAGTGAGGAGAGACGTGGCCTCACGTTAACACTGCAATGTCTCTTGCTTTAATAATGGGCGCATAATTTATTTTATCACACTTTTATTACGTGTAAACGAATACTTGATTTGTTGAGCCTCTGTGACCCCTGACTCATTAAAAACCATCGTCCAAGAACACACAAACATTCAACTTCCATCTAATTCCCTCATTATTTAAAACAGTTTGACTTCAAAACAAAACATTATTACATTAAGCCAACTGAGAGACACTGAAGAAGAAAAAGAAATGCGTGTACTATACTAATAGTCAACCAACACAAATACCTTGTTAACCTTTTCTTTTCTGATGTGACTGTGTTCACTCTAATTTCTGCTGTCGCTCCCTGGGCCCTCGACGGTCACTTTTATTTCTCTTCATCTTTTGTTCAAACCCTTGAAGGGCAAATTCAGCTCAGTCCACTCCGAACCTGCCCATTCACTCTCTGCCTCCATCACTGACAGGATGGAGCTATTGTTGTGGGTTCGTGCGCCATTGGTTTCATTCATTCATCCTGTGGAATTTGCGCTTCAGCCCACCGGCTCTGTGCTTTGTGGATAAAAGAGTTGCTTGTATTCGTGTGACTGGAAAAAAGGATAAGACTCGATAGGGGAGAGTGAGCATTTTCACTGCAGATTTCTGTCCATCTCTTTGTCTCGAGTAGTCGCTTTTTTCCAAACCGCTTTTTAAGATTTAAAAATCTGGTGCGTAAAAGAAAAAAAAGGGCGCTTTGAGTTAAAGTTGTTGATTTCTAAACCCATCCAGACTGACATCAATGACATCAAATCCATTTTCTGCTCAATATCTCGATCTGTTTTCTGTTTTGAATTCAACTACATGACATGTCCCTGTCTTGTTTGAACCGTGCGTAAAAGGGCTGGGTTTTGAGAGCCAAAGACGTGTCCAAATCTGATCTAAAACACTGACAGTTCCTGACCCTGCAGCCGCTGCGCGTCTGGCTCATCACGACTTTAAAAAAAAAGATGTCACGTAAAACCACAAGGGGACCTAGGATTCACCAAGTACCTTTCAGTTGAGCAGGAGTCCTGCCAAGTAAAGAACACTTTCCTCCTCCTCTTCCAGCGGCGACAAACGCAGAGAATCGACAGAGGAGAATTGAGCAAATTATCTACTTTTCCACTCTCCTTCTTGGACGGTAACGATCGGCAAGGTCTCGGCTCTTGCCCCACCGATATCGAACGAGCCTCGGGCGCCCTGATTGTCGTCAATAACCAGGAAAGCAGGGCCTGTGTTTTGGTGGGGGTGGGGTTGGGGGATCCCTGGCGGATGATGTCCTTTTCTGCGTGCCGGTGAGGAGCAGCGCCGATCTCATCTTCTTTCCAGCAGCTTTAGTTGTTGTTGTCGCAACCCGGTTGATGCGGAGGTGATGGACGGTCCTCTCCGCCGCCCAGCAGGGATCCTTGGCTCCCCCACGGCTTCAGGGAGCCAACCTGCGGGCTCAGAAATGCTCACCTCCGGCGGCAGCAGCAAGCCTCTCGCTTTCTCCATCGACCGGATTATGGCCAGGACACCCGAGCCCAAGTCAATACCGCTCCCCAACTGGTTTCAGTCCGCTCCAGTGGGGAAACCCGAAGCATATCCGTCCTCGCTGCATTGCATGATCCCGCTGGTACCGCTCGGCTATGAGCCGGGACACCGGCTCAGTATCACAGGGCTGGATACGGGCCACTTAGACGCGTCTTCTCTCCCGGCTCCCGCAGAATTTTTGGGGTTTGGGCTAAACTATAAAAATCAACAAGAAGACACTGCTGTCAGCCAAACCACCGGGCAGTACAAACTCTTCAGACCCAGGGTGGTAAACCAGTCCTCTTTTCCCACGATGGGCACTGTTTGCTACCTGAATTGCAGCGGGGATTCCGGAGCGTGTCCACCGCCGGCTGGCCTGGTGAACCTGCACCCTATGGCCTCGTACCTGTTCACTGCCCGACATAAAGCATTCATGGCAGAGAAGAGCAAGACCGGCATGCAACAGGCCGCGGAGCGGTACGCGGGTTCCGGCGTGCAGGCCTTCAAGGATCTATCTCCGAACCAGATTCACTACATAAAGCAGAGGGATCAGATCCTGAGTGACAAGATTTTCAAGGGCTCCGCGACAGCTGCAGCGGCAAGCGCCAGGCTCAGCGGCTCCTGTCCCGGTAGCAAGCCCAAAGTTTTTACCTGTGAGGTCTGCGGTAAGGTGAGCGTCAGCGCGGATTATTGAATTTATTTACTCTTTATCCACAGAAGGAAACTGAAAATGGATTTATTTTCAGAATTGATGTTAGTTATCTCTCACCCTCTTTTTTTTTTATGAAAAAATTCGGAGGTTTTGAAGATATTTTAAACAAGTAATCTAGTGCAAGTTAAATGTTGGATTTGATTAGTTATTAGTGTTTAACTTACAAATACTCGATCCTTTTACATAAGGTTAAGTTTTGTTTAATGGATGTGTTTAGGGTTAGATAAATAATATAGTGTCCGATACACTCGGTCACTCTATACGATCTAAACAACCTTAAAAAAAATAACTCTGACTAAAAAAACAAAAACAAAAAAGTATTCGACATATGTATGCATTAAAATAAAAATGCATACATATGTCGAATAGAATTTTTAGAGTGTGCAGACCCGGCATTTAGCTCGCAAAATTAATAAACGGAGTCCCGGAATGGAAGCGCAGAGTACATAAATAAAGGAAAAAACGGAGGTTTGCTGTGGTTATTTGAAATAACAAATGGAATTTATCAAATTTAACATTTATAATTTCTCTAAAACTCATTTTAAAAGGACAAAATTACCGTAGTGCCTACTTGGTGGGTTGTTTAGGAATTTAAATTTTGGCTCATGCTGCGCATCTTTAGAGATTTGTTATTGTGTTACAATGAACCCATTCCGTGTATTCCAAGTCCAATAAATTACCCCCAACAGATTACACATAATTAGACTTAATCTAATAATTACAGGCACCCATTCTTCTTCTTTTTTTCACATAATTAACCTTTAACTGAGCAATGTAGTCGGCTGACATTTTATTATTTTATTATTATTATTAAAATAATAATTATTATATTTTTCTTGTTGACAAGGTGTTGCTTTTTGTTTATTTATTTGTTTTGTCTCGGGTTTCCCCCCCTCCTGTTCAGGTCTTTAACGCGCACTACAACCTGACCCGCCACATGCCCGTACACACAGGCGCTCGACCATTCGTGTGCAAAGTTTGCGGGAAGGGATTCCGACAGGCCAGCACGCTGTGCCGGCACAAAATCATCCACACTCAGGTAGGATGAGTTCAGTCATTCATCTCGGGTTTTTTTTTAATGTTTTTTGTTTTGTTTTTTGATGATGGTTTTAAATGTTATGTTTGATTATCATTTCGCTGATCTCTGTAAGTTTTAAAATGTTATATTCTCTGTTTTATTGACCGTTTAAATGTCAACCAAAGGTCGCGATAAAGTCGGTCACTCTTTATTATTCTGTTTATTGATTTATTTTTCTTTAATATGTTTCACCTCTGAATCGTACGCAGACATTTAATCACACTGAAGTACGATCATTAATTTATTTAAGTAACTACCAGTTCGATTGTTTTCAGTCATGATGATTGATATGATTTAATATGCGTTTGGTGGGCGTGGCTTCAGCGTGGCGTTCGGATTGCAGGTTTAGACTCAAAAATCGATTTCTGTTTTATTTACCCCTGTGAGGTGTCACTTTCATAGAGGAAATTAATTACGCGCTAATTATGTTTGTTTCGCTTAAAATATAAATTAAGCATAAAAAGTATTCATCTTTATGCGCTGTTATATTAATGAATTTGATTCTACACATTATATACATTATCTGTGAAAGTATAAGGTCCTTGTGCATCTCTGCAAGATTATTTTGTATTTTTTGGTGCTATTTTTTATTTATGGCACATTTTCCACTGAGTTACTTATTTCCCCCCCTGTAATTTTTTTTACAGGAAAAGCCTCACAAGTGTAACCAGTGCGGAAAAGCCTTTAACAGGAGTTCAACCCTCAACACGCACACACGCATCCATGCAGGATACAAACCATTCGTGTGCGAGTTCTGTGGGAAGGGATTTCACCAAAAAGGTGAGACGGTAAAAAAAGAAAATGGATCAGTATTTTCTTATTTGTTTTTTCTCCTTTTTCAAGGATTAGATTTAATATATCAACCAAAACATCTTGATTAGAAATTTTATTCCAAGAATCCGTTACATTTTAGAGCGGTGTTAAATCCTAAAAAGCAAAAGATCCCGAGAGAAGAGCCACATCCTCACTATACAGCTGGACTGAACTTACAGGTCAAACAACACAGAGCGAAAACATGATAAATTCATTGGCATAAAGAGGGAAAAAACAACAAAAACAAAAGGTGATGATATGTAACAGAAGTGGGTGCGATGGACAAATACAGCGGGTCTGAGGCTAAATCCGTTTAAAGTTCCCGTGAAGACAGTTCGCTACAGACTCCACACTGTTTATTATATATAATTATTATATATTAATGTAAATCGAACATAATTCAGCATATTCAAGACATGCGAGTTTAACAGACACAAAAATAATACAGATGCTTGTCCAGCAGCACTATTTTGTTTTCTTCTTCTTTTTTGTTTGTTTGTTTTGTTAAAATATGTTATGGAAACATAAATGTTTCATTGTAACTGCCTGTAGCAGAGCTGTTACATGTTGTAAGGCCAAATATTTGGTGCTATTTCAAACCTTCAAACCATGTGGGGCATCTCTGCCAGACACATAGCAGCCGCCCAAGGCCCATTAGAGTGGTAGTTGATGATTGTGTTGTATTTATGTATTCATAACAATTACCAAAGTTTACTTTCTTGAAATTAGCCGGACTTGTAATTTTAGAAAAGGTTAGTCTGCTATGACGGCTAAAACAAACAGTTAAAACTGAAGAGGAATCGCTCCCTGGATTCATCCTGAGCTGAATGAAGTGGTGAAAAATCTTCTATAGAAACGCACATTCTTAGTTGTGACATTATATTTGTCTACATGCTTACAGTTTTACTGTGCTGTACTGATGTATTCCCTTCAAACTGTTGTATTGCTACTGCTTTACATCTACTAATACATCAGCTCTAATACATCCAATACATCGCCTCATGAAACACACAGAAAACTTTTACGACTAAATGCTTTAAGTAATTTGAGTACATGTAAATTAGATTTTCATTTAAATAAAATTTTGTTACATATACTGTGTAAAATGTTAAATGGAATATGGTCAAATAAAATTTACTTAATTTGTATACATTTAGTTTATACCAGCCAGTGATTAATTCTTTAAATAAAGAAACCTTTGATTTTTTTTTACAGTTCAGTATTTTATTATTTTCAGTGTTGCTTTGTGTTCACTGAGAGCAAAAAGTCATTTTTTAAGTGTACATTTTCCTTTTTTTATGTTGTTAGAAATGCGGTAATACTTGTACTTTATTTCAGGTTTTATTTAATATTAAGGTAATGCCGGTGATTGTGGTGATGAATTGCTCTGAAAACACTCCTCTGGTTCATATTAACAGGAGGAAAACATATGTTTGTTTTTTGGTTATTTTAAATATCACAGAATTCAGTAGGGTTTCAGCAATAATGCCAAATACTGGATGGATTTTGCTTCTCAAATGTGAACATGTGATCCTTATTTTAGTTGTTAATGTGAGTAAAACTGTATTTTTCACAAACGAAAAACACATATATGTGGCATGATTTCTAATTCTCAGAACAACAAAACAAAACAAAATAAGCAACATAAATAAATAAATTAAAAATAAATATTATAAGGAAAAATATTTGCTGGGCTTTTTTTCCCACATGCTATGGACTCATACAGTAATGTATTCATCACTGATAAAAGGTATCCTGATAATTGATAAAATGTTAGTAGTTATTCCCTTCTGCCGGTGATAAAAATGAAATACTAATAATAACATCAATAATAATATTTACTAATAATTGAACAAAGTGCACAAATTCTTAAAATATGTGTACGAGTGACTGATTTACATCAGTATGTTATAATTTATTTTTACTTATGCAATTAGTTTATGTAATAAGTTGCAATTTTTACCATAACCATCGATCCAATTTCTGTAGAGGATCATTAAAAACAAATTATGAATCAATATATGAACATTATTAATTATTATTTCATTTTAACCTAAATGTAATGTTAATTAGTTTAAAAAGTAAAACCATTTTAACCATCAATTACCAATTTAATAGCTTTTGTACTGTAAAGTATAATTGCTTGTTTTTTGTGTTTTGTTTTTTTTGTTTTGGTCCCATTTCACTTCCTCACAGTCAGATTATGTGATGCTGATACCACTGAGAAAATATACTCCTGGAAATTTTTTGGAATTGTAAGGAGATTCCATGTCTTGATGTCTTGTTAAGTTTCACCCTTTTGCCTCAACACAGGAAACTACAAAAACCACAAGCTGACACACAGTGGCGAGAAGCAGTTCAAGTGCTCCATCTGCAGCAAGGCATTTCATCAGGTGTACAACCTCACCTTCCACATGCACACCCACAACGATAAGAAACCCTTCACCTGCCCAACCTGTGGCAAGGGCTTCTGCAGGAACTTTGACCTGAAGAAACACGTCAGAAAGCTACATGACCCAGCCGGCGCACAGTCTCCCCCACAGATGTAAAAACCTGAACACTGACTCTGAACCCCCAGCACACCAAAATGCATAGTCAACAATTACATTTCAGCCAAGCTACATGTAAAATAAGGTACACTTTGGTCCTTAGACTTAAGAAGCCCTGTAGGTGGTAAGGGGAAGGTTTTTCATAAATCAGCCATATGCATGTGTTTAGAATTTGTGCACTTTTTTCATCCAAATTAATGCACCAGTTTATCAGTAAGTGAGACTGGAAAGTAACTAAAATACATTTTTATCATGGTTTTTGCTCCTTCTGTTCTCAAATTACAGATGCTTAAGAGTAAATGTCTTTAAATAATTTCCTTACCAATATTAACTAATTGGCTCATTTACTGAAGAAGTTAAATAATTTGAGGGTTCTTTTGTAACCTTAAATTATTATTTAAAAAAAAAATATATATAACTCAATCATATGATTTCTCTCACAAGCAGCAATGAAGCTCCCTGAATCCTTAAAACTGTGACTATGACTATGTTCTTTATGTATTTCTGACTATGATCAAAGTTTTTAACTGACATCATGTCCTGTGTGTTGTTTCTTGTAATTCTACATGATTTAATGATGTGATATGGGGAGGAGTTACTTATGATTTGTAGAAATCATCATAGATGTCTTCCAAAATCCCCCTCCCCCACCCCCACCAGAGAAATCATAACAACAGATGATAAAGTTGTAAAACTAAAGCCAGGCATTTCAGACATGATTTTATTCAAAGTTACAGGTGTTCTAACAAATTTAACAAGAAGACTTTGCCATCTTTAACTGAAGGCTAAAACAACAACAACTGGATCACATTCAAATTTAATTTATGTAGTATTTTTCTATTACAATCATATCCTGGCATATAATGGCTACAGATTCCCCTGTAACAGTTGGCCTAGTGTCATGTGATTAAGAGCAGTTTCATTTTGCGTAAAATTGCTAAATAGCACAACTTTTTCACAAAACCCAGTGACTTAAAAGATCAATGCATCTGCATACCTCCACCCACAACATGCCTAAACTGAGTTACGTTATCCAGAGGATTTCCTGGATCTGCATAAGTTTCTAATCATTTTTAGATTACATCAAGATGATTTCTCTCAGTTTTTCTTATTTCAATTTGATGTGTATTTGTGAAGATATGTTGCAACGCACAATGCTGTCCATCCAAAAATCATTCCAACTATTCCTGAATCTGGACTCACTTCTGCTCGCAAATTCTTCATTAAATATCCCAACAAAGAGGCAAAATAAATCAATGACTAAATAAATAAATAATAAGGCAAAAGTCTAAAATGAGATTATCCCTCCTTCTGATGGCATCACTGTGACATATTCACAAAATAATCAATATTATCTATAATTGTTTTTGCAGTCTGAGGAGGGATAACCATGGCAAAAACCCAACAACTTTTAATTATAACATTTGTTAGTGTCCCATTAAATCTTTAACAACAGAATTCTTTTGATTGGCACACATGATAGCCAATCATGTTGTTTACTTATGTACTGGGTTGAACTTTGGTTAACTGAAGAGAAGTAGGCAGTAATGCCAGGTGAAACAACACACTGATGCATGTTGTTAGTACGTGTAAAATGTAAAAGAGTTGAATTTGTGTATGCAGATCTATTTAAATTGTCTTTAACCTGACAGCTTCCTGGTACAAAATCTGTGCCCGTGTGATGGAAGAGCGGAAAATGTTTATTCTGTCTTGCTCACTTAACTCAAGGAAATAGCGCATTACCAGTAGTGAGAGTGCGCCTGAGCTGGTTGAGCACTCAAAATGCTTTCTGCTACAAGTCTCATTCACCAAATTACACACACATTCATGCAGCACTTTGTTTAACATTTACACACAGTCACATTCCAATGGATGCATCAGGAGCAACATGAGGAGTTCAGTTTCTTGGTCAAGGATACTTTGATTAAATTACTGGAGGAGCCAAGGATTGAGCCACTTACCTACTGATCAGTAAACAATCCCTTCTATGACCTGTTGTTGTGTCTATGAACACAACAACAGACAGGAAGTACATTTTTGCACAAAATCTTTGAATTTAAATAGGATTTTGTCACACATGATTAAATTTCTCTAAATACCCCTTTTACACTTAGCATACCTGACAGAGTCATTTTTTAAACATCCAGTCACAAAAATGTTATTTGCGTTTTCATTTGTGATCCAGGAAAAAAAAAAAAAAAGGAAAACTCTCTCCTTGAACACTCCAACACAAACCATGACTATGAACTTGAACGTCAAGGAAGAAAGAAAGTGTGTGTGGGGGACTCCTAACCCCTTTAAAGCCCCATAGTGGCCCCTTGATACCTGGTCCTGACATGCTCCATGTCTCTCTTAGCTTGCTGGTCTGAGGTTACTCTGAGGGGAAACTTAACTTTCATATCCTCGAATTACTAGTCACTTGTTTTGTTATAATGATGGATAATTATTCCATCATTAGTCATCAGTATTATTTTTCAGCCAGAACTCAGGATGTGAGATTACTAGACTAGACAAGTGACAGCAGTGAAACAGTGCAGACTCATGTTCAATAAGATTTAATAGTCAAAAGTAAATCTAGTTACATCTATATTTTTCTTAATATCAGCTAATTCCCTCAAAGTATAAATACCAAGGAACCAAGTATGTGTTTGGTGTATTTCCACCACAGGAAATAGTCTCAAACAGGTGCACTTTTTACTCCTGCATTGCCTAAAAAGTTGCGTTGCCTAATTGTTTCAGGCACCGCTTTTGATG